ATTTCAAAATGAAACATCTCAATACTGGAGAGGTGACTGCTAAATAAGTCAACAGCGGAACTAACGAGAATCGTTTTCAGGAAGAGGACTCATATTTCGGTTACACACTGTCTGTGAAGGTGCTTCCTGTTTCCTGTCGGGGAGTTTTCGCCATCTTGTTGAACAGTTTTGGTCATGTTTGGGAATGTTTTGGGCAAACTGGTGACAGAAACACTTAGTGTTCACCGCTATGTGAGGACTGTAGCTGTATTACAGGGGGTAAGAGCCGCCTCTGTGCCGGTCAGGAGCTTCTCTGATGTGAAGGACGAAGTGCAGCAGTCTTTTGACACCTCCCTGCTCGAGTTCCTGGTGTGTCCGCTGTCCAAGAAGCCGCTGAGGTGAGACACACAGCGTTACAGGACAGCCAAAATGTAGAAGAAGTAGTGACGCTCCGATAAAAGCTTTGGGGCTAACGTTCTAATTTTACCGGGGGAGAAAGCCTCGAGGCTTCGGGCTACAAATACAATCACTACAGTGATGTCATGTAAAACCTTCAGCAGCACTTCAAACTTGCAGCCGAGGCACTGACGTCACCACACACACCTCGGTGATCTGAATAGTTTTGGCCTCATATCTGTGCAGTAATGGAAGAAGTGCTGCATCAATTAGACATGGTATTGTTCAATATGTTACAGTTACCTATTAGAATATTACATGAGTAAAAGTATCTGAAAAGTTCTTAACTATCAAAAGTAATATCATATTAAATGTAGGCTACTGAAGTATTCAAAGTAAAAGTACCAGTAAATGCTGTTAATGAAAGAGCAAGGGTCGGAATTTTGAGCATTGTTCAGTTTAGTTCTTTAAAATACACCACCTCAATAAAAATGGAGCCTACATTACACTTGTCTTTTTTACAACTTTCAGGATTTGAATAACAAAAACAGTTTTTCCATTCCTTCATCCTGTCCCAGTCTCCACCCTTCCCTAATTTGTAGTAAGTATGAAAGATGCCTAGGGGAAATGTATTGGATTACATTTACATTTTTATTTGTTCTGCTCATGTCCATGTGTAGCCATCAAAGTCACAATTAAAACAACTCTAATACATATTTCCATGACCGAAAAGGAGCAGGGAGAAGAAAATATTCTTATTGTACCTGCCCCTCTCTCAGAACACAAATGATCAGAAGAAATAGATGGTCTGTCAGTTATAATTGATAACCAATACTTACAGTAACTTCAGAAAGAAAGAAAGAAAAATAAATAAACAGAGAAGAATTGAGAGCCATACACACTGTCCCCTTCAACAAGGAAACAGCTTTTACACGACAGTTTCATGTAGTCTAATTGTTATTTCGTTTTACATTTTCTTGAACTGAAAAATATTTAGACTACCCTTTAAATTATTCTGTAGAGAATTACAGTTGAACACCTACCACTGAAGTACACATCTGTTTTAACAGCATACATGCAAACTGGTGTTTAAAGTGAAATTTTCCTCTATGCTCCTTGTCGTCTAAAATAATAAACAAATTTTGTAAATGTTCTAGTAACACTTTGCATTTTGCTTTTAATAGTGCCTGTAACTCAACTAAGTCTTTACGTTTCGATAGTCCTGAGTTTTATAGTAAATATGTAGTTTATATCAAAAGTGATAGTTGACAGAAATATTAAAACTCAGGTGTTTTTTGGGAGTATCTGCACTTTATCTAAGTACTGTTACATTACACCACTGAGTGAACCTTACTGGTGTAGTTTAGGCCCAGTGTAGGCTCATGGGCTTTACCCTCATGGTTGATCTTTGTGTAACATGTCAAATGAATCAGAATCATAATAATTGGAGAATGATGCTGATTTTATTAGCCTACATAATTACTTAGTATCAGAAGGAAATGTTCTCATGCTTATGGTTATGGATTTCCAGGACATCACAGTAGGCGTCATTTCCATATTCCCTAATTGTCCCACTCTTTTCTTATCCCACCAATGTGTCTATATCACATACTATAGTTTTCGTTTGGCTGTAAAACTTTAAAAACTGTCAAAGTGAATTAAGCTCTTATGTGTCTGGCGCATCAGAAACTTTTCAGTCGAAGTACTCGGTCAGTGTGGCACTTTATTGTTCGCCTTCTGGGGTGTTGGAGATGTCAGACATAGAGATGTCTGCCTTCTCTACAGTATAATGGAACTAGATGGCACTCAGCTTGTGGTGCTCAAAGTGCCAAAAAAATAAAGTTCAAAACCTCAACAGCAATGTCTCTTTCAGAAATCATGACCTGGTAACTAAAGATAATCCACAGACCTTGTGCGGAGTTTCATGTAGGAACTATATTCTTTTTATCAAACTACACCCTCAACTATATCACCTCGCAAAAGAAAGCATGTATCTACTCATGGAAAGGGGCTGACAGTGTGAGATGTAAACGTTAATGTTTTCCCTCTCAGCTAAGCTGTAATGTTAGCTAGCTAAGTGGTGTCAGGTGAGCTAGCAGTAGACACACGCATCCCTTTGCACATTGATATGGTTGATGGGTGTAGTTCGATGGAACGAAAATAGTCCCCACATGCAACTGCTACAACGAGGTCTGTGGATTATCTTGAGTAACGGGGTCATCATTTCTGGAAAGAGACATTTCTGTTGAGTTTTTCAAATATATTTTTTGGCACTTTGAGCACCACAAGCTGAGTGCCATCTAGTTCCATGATACTGGATAAAAGGCAGACATCTTTACTGTCGATATCTCAGACACTTAGCAACTCACACCAAAACAACCTGGACAAATAAATAGAACTACAGGTTAAGAGGAGACAAATGTATTTTTGATTATGGGGTGAACCGTCCCTTTAAAAAAGTGTTACACTAACTCAGTGGGGTCGCTACTGTTGCTAACAATTAAAAATGTAACCTTTGCAAGTGCCATTGAGTGACCACTTTTGGTAACGGGTATCGCTATTCATTAGTTCGGTTTTCATTTGCCCCATGGTAAAAACACCTTTTTTCCTCAGCTTGCATGTATTAAATGTTACATGCTGAAAAAATAATTTTGAATACATCACAGCATCATTAAGTGGTGTGCATCATAGAAGAATTATGTTGCTCTTGTCCCTCCACAGGTACGATGCTAAGACCAATGAGCTGATCAACGAGGAGCTTGGTATTGCCTATCCCATCATTGACGGCATCCCCAACATGATCGCCCAGGAAGCCAGACTCATACAGAAAGACACAGATAAAGCTACCTAGACCGCACCAACACAAGGGTAGAAGCTCTATCACAACACCTTCAGCTGACCCAAACAAACACTCTTAGTGTTTTAAAGGCTGTTGGACTGAGTGAGACAATTCACTGTCACTGGATCCCCCACAGCTCAAATTGCAGCTCAGTGAGAACTTATACTGCATTCTTGCCAGCTGGCTGAAACTTCATGTATTATATCCCCTCAGGTATTTATTTACTCCTGTAGTGCCCTGTGTCAGAACCCATCTGCAGGCATGTTCTCGCTGTCCATGATGGTGGGGCTGGTCCCAATAGTGTCTCTGTTTGGTTTGTTCTACTCTGCTGCGGTGGATGAGAACTTCCCTCAAGGCTGCACCAGCAGCAACAGTCTGTGTTTCTACAGCCTGCTGCTCCCGGTCACCATCCCTGTGTACGTCTTCTTCCACCTCTGGAGCTGGATGGGGATCAAACTTTTTAGACACAACTAGGTTGTTCTGATTCTGTTCTGTTAAAGGAAATATCAGCCTTAAAATAATTTGACAAAAGGTGAAAACAGAATGGTTTGACATCACATCAGCACATGACGAGGACAGCTACAGTGGAGTTTATTAGCAGTAAATGTTACTTTCTCTGCAAGCACTAGATTGACATCCTGCAGGAATACACATTTTGAATGAGATACCAAGGAAACAGACTCATTGTATTATGAGGCAGAACTACACAGGGCAGTTTGAAGGAAACTGAATGCGGCAAAAATCTAATGCAACTCTTACTGTTAAAACAGATCAGTTTTAACCGTAACCATGGGTGGATTTTAACTGGTTGCTACATTTTAAGGTGGAGGGCAGCTGTGTGTAATAACTGGGGCTAATATATTTATTTTTTTCCCTTTTGAATAGTGGTTATCTGGTTGCTTTAAGTACAGCGTGCTAATGTGTTGTAGTCTTATCAGCTAAAAAAACAAGCCCTGTAGACAAGTTTTGGTTGCTTCATTGTTATGCTCTGACTCGTCTTGTGTTAATTCCAACCCTTAATGTAGTTCACATTTCTGAGCAGAAATGGAAGGTTAACTAACTGTTTATGACATGACTAATTCCATGTGTACATTGCTATGGAGGTGAAATGAATAAAAAGAATAGTGAACAACTTAATATTGAAACTTCACTGTGTCATTTTACTGTTAACACTTAAAGAACACATGTAAACAACTGGTTCTGCATAATAAATAAACTTTAATTGATAAAAGACTTTAATTGATAAAAGTCTTCAACACAAAACAACAGACCACAAACAAAACTATGAACTACAATTCGATGTCATAGTTTCCTGAAAACATCAAAAACACTGAATAAAACTGGTATTTGAGGAAGTAACCTATACCAACATTACAGGAAAGTCTAACTTGAAAATTTGAACAATGGATAAATACATGAAGTCATCATGAATACTAAGAGGTTTCTGTGATTCTTCTCCAGAAGTTCATTTTGGGACAGTTGGTTTGGTGTGCCAAGGCCTTTACTTTCACTTTCCCCAGCAAGTATGTTTACAAACATTAATGACAATCCTGCCTAGTACACCTTTAACATCACAGCTCCCTACACAAAGATTCTTATCTCTCAAGAACAAGGTACAGATAAACTTTGGCATTAAGAACTGAATTTTAATTTGCCTGTAAATCTGATGCTTGGCTGCTCTTAAACCCAAGCCACTGAAATACTGCTCCACACATTAAAGGATACCTGGCAAAAAATGTAAATAAGAATGTGGCAGCCACTGACTGCAGGTTAGTGTCAGGGAACCTTAATTTCCATGCTTTCATATGACCTCAGTGCCCCTTCCTGCTTTTAACCTCTCTGCCCTGAGCGAGTTTCATCAGTGGAGACTCTGGTCTGGGTGACCGTCCCTCTCCTTTTGTCTTGAAGAAGAAGGATTCATTGAGTCTCATCTGGACTGCCCTCACCTGAAGAGCAAAAAGTCAGTTTGTTACTTGACAGTGGTGTGTACTTAAATGACCGTTCTTGCAAATTATTCTGACAAACACAAACACCTTTTTTGCGACCGATTAGCAAGCAAAACAGTTTAAAGGATAAGGAAAAAGACCAAAACACGTTGAGTCCATACATTCCCTCCTTCCTACTCTGTATGTGGCTCTCTCAACCACAGGCCAATTTTTTATGCCTCCACGCCAGGGACAGTTGTGGCCAGAGGCATTATGTTTTCAGGGTGGTCCGTATGTACATATGTCCCATGCTTGTAAATGCGATATCTCAAGCCTGCCTCAAGGTAACTTCTTCAAATTTGGCACAAATGTCCACTTACAAATGTCACCATGAACTGATTAGTTTCTGGTGGTCATAGGTTAGACCTTGTCTGTCTCCTTCCCGTTAATGTGATATCTCAAGAACACCTAGAGGGAATTTCTTCAAATTTGGCACAAAGGTTGACTTGGGCTCGAGAATGAACTGGTTAGATTTTGGTGGTCGAGGGTCAAAGGTCAAGGTCACTGTGACATTGTCTGTCTCACTCTAGTGAACACAATATCTCAAAAACACCTTGAGGGAATTTCTTCAAATATAACACAAACGTTTACTTGGAACTGATTTGATTTTGGCGGTCAAGGTCAATGTGCCCTTGCATCTGTCTCATTCTCATGAACACAATGTCTCAATAACACCTTGACACAAACATCCACTTGGACTGAAGAATAAACTGATATAAAGTTTGTGTTGGAAGGTCAAAGGTCAAGGTCAATGTGACCTCACTAAATATTTTTTTTTTTGGGGGGGGGGGGGGGGCGAAGCATCCATGTTGTCATTCATGCATTTACATACAAAGGTTACCACTTCGTATTTATATCCTCTGCTTATGTTAATAATAGCGTGATGATACAGAACAATTAAATAGCCTAGAAACCTATAGCCTTGGACACAGGGACAGGCAGGGGAATATCATGACTATTCTCAAAATCTTGATTTTTTTTTTTTCTTTAACATGGCCCTGATCCTCCTTCATACTATTCTAGACTGTGCAAGACACATGATATTTGATGCCTTCACAGGCCTGGGTACGTGCAGTGAGCAGTGAGAGGAGTATCACCTGGATCAGGTCTAGCTTGCCAGTGCGACAGGGGGGGTCGTCTTCACTGGAGGCTGTCGTGTCTGCAGACTTGGCCTCAGACTCTGACTGGGGGCTCAGCGTTGTTTCACCTTTACCTTGTGTGCTTCCAGAGCAAGGCTGTCGGCCAGAGGGCTCTTTCTTTGCCTCTCCATCTTTTGTGTCTGAGGAACAAGATGGGTGCAGGCTGGGCTCTTTGTGGTTGTCACTTTTGATCTCTTCTTGTAAAGTCACTGACAAACATGTCCCGAGGTTTTTTCTTGCCCTCTCTGGCATGCTCAGATCCAGCGGTTTCAAGTTCTCGAAGTGTACGCTCAATCTTCTTTTTTGGTCGAAGTTGAGGTAGGAGGAGAGTTCAGTGGTGAAGAAGTTTTCTGTCTGTGTGGAAGTGCTTGTCAGGGACATGGGGGGCAACACCGCTGGCTCATCTGACAGATATGAAAGAGACTGCTTTGACTTTACAACAATTGGCTCATCCAGGTATTCATTTTCCACACTGAGTGTTTTATGTGCAGGGTGTGCAACTTTTTTCACCTGATTTAGGTTTGTGTTTAACTCCATCTGTGTCTCAAAGAAGGATTTTGCCTCCTTGGGACTCTGATGTGCTTTGTTTAACTGCTCCTCTTCCTCTGTGAGAAGCACCTGTACTGTCTTTGGCTGTTGCACCTGCTCGTTTGTTTCTCCGTGGTCCTGATGGAAATGTGAGTCATGTGGACATTTGTATGATTGGTTGAGATGCTGTTTTAGCCATACTACAGACGTGTCCAACCTGTTTCGTGGTGCAAACATTTGAGGACTTGTAGTTATGGCTTGGTCGCTGGCTTCCCCACTGGAAGGTTCTGAGGGCGACACTCTGAATGTCTTCTGGGTGATGAACAGGTCCTGGCTGTTTATATCCTCATTGGTGCACTGAGATTCATTAGCATGTGTTTGACCCTGGCTGTGTCCTGTGACTTGTGAACAGCTCTCAGCATCTCTCACAGCTTCATTTTCCAAGAGGACGCTCTCTTTGGGAGAATGCTGAGATGAAGAGCTTAATTGAGGATGTTTGGCACATATGTAGGCTGGTGATAAGTCAAACGCCACTTTCTTTTTTCTTTTGGTTTTCTTCTTGCAGTCTTTGCCAGGTTTAAGCTTGTCACTGCTGTGTGGAATCAATGTTCCAGGCTCCATTGTAGGTTTTGTTTGTACACTGCTGCCCTGAGGAAATATAAAACTATCATCTAGTTCTGAGTGCAATCTGTTTTTCTTTTTCTTCTTTTCTTTTTTAGCTTCTCTATTTTCTTTCATTGCTTCCTTAAATTTTGAGCTTTTCTTTTTCTTTTTCTTCTGAATGTTCTCATCCATTTTCATGGCTATGTTGTTTTTGCAATTTGCATTTTTCTTGTCCTTTTTGGATTTCTTTTTTCTTTTTCCTTTCCTAGGTGTCCAAGTCCAAGGCTCCCAGAAGAAGTCTGTCTCCTCACTGTCATCCATGGGTCTGTTCAACAGAAAGAGGATATGTAAATACACTCACTTAAATGAAAGAAAATACAAGATAAAAGATGGTTATGCTGCCATATATGCTAATATATGGAATTTCTCTTAATACCTTTTTCTGTAACTACTTCAGTGAAGCAGTGGTATGAGATTTTCATAGTATGTTAACCATCTCAAAAGTATATGGTATAAAACTATTATCAAAATTGTATCATAATTAAAACTAGAAACTAGTAATAAATCTCCCTTCTGAAAAATAAACAAAACAGATGTGAGATTCTCTGTCCAGCTGCATTCTTTTTCCAATACCGTAGATAAGCAGATGTACACCGTATGATAACCGGCAATGTTCAGACCACGGTATACCTTGAAACCGGTATACTGCTGCGACCCTTAACTTCTCAAAGGGAAACTTTGCCAATTTTCAACCAGCTATGTATCATAACTTTGAGGGTAATACGTGTAAATTACTTTGGTAAACTTTCCTCCATCTAACCAGCACCCAGATCACCCTGCCTCAGCTCCCAGCTCAAATCCGCCAGATGATGCAAAATGTGGAGCTTCTCTGGCTGTTGCTCAAACTACAGATTGTACTTCCTCATTTTTGTATGCACCATGCCAGCACAGGCACAGATTGTGTGTTCCAATACCCATACTACCATAGTATAAAATATGCCAGAAGGTAAGTACATCCCAATACATAGTATGTCAAATGCAATATGCCAAAAATACCAGGATGTTCGACTACATCCAGTCTGATTTTCAGTATGCAAGCCAACATGCTTTTCTGGCTATTCTGACTGATCCTCTGCACAGCGGATGATTCATCACATTGACTGAGCAGCAAATGGATGACAGCTTGAAAACTCATTGACAGCTGAGTGACAGCTGTCAGAAATTGCAATGACAGATGACAGTACATTCCAGTAACTGATGAGCAGTCGATTAGTAATAATAGGAATATTGATTGTTTCAGTGAACAAAAATATTACAAACAACAATGGGACATAACTATAAAAATAACAGTGACAGATAACTGCAGATGTAACTTCACAGTCGCATATATAATATTTTAGAATCTACAATCTGTGCAGTTATACCAACTTAGAGTTAAACTACAGAAATTAGTAAGAGAAAAAAGTAAGAGCAGCAGAACTCGCCAGGTCGATCTCCGTCTCTGGTGAACACGATAAGTGGCATTTGTTTTATCCCAAATGTAACAGATATAAAAGCAAGAGGGTCAAAGTCCGAGGCGTAATGTTACGAGAAAATCGTATGTCGCGATTGCATGCATACTGCATGCAATGGTATGTACTTTTCATGGGCAGCTGCAGTACCCACTAAAAGTAAAAAAGAAAAAGTATGCGATCTGGAACTCACCCAAAGAGTACAGAAGTGGATCAAGAGAGAGAGAGCCGCCTCTGTTTCTCTCTCAAACTTAGACCAAACTCTTATTAAACTGTAAAACTGGGCAGTGCTGATCAAATTCTGTGCTGCTTATTTCTTGCCTCAAATGTTTTCATAAAGAGTTTAATGGATGCCCGCCGGCTGCCATATTGTCTCTTTTGTCATAACAGAAAAGCTCAGATTACATCACCCACAAGCGGGAGAGTTTATGGGTCCGACACAGGACAGTGTATCCCGGTAGTTATAAGTTTTCTACCTCTTGAGCAAAAGTAAATGACACAGCTCTTTTTCTCTGTTTTCTCTGGTCATGTCGCACCAATTTTAAAAGTATGTCTGTCTTTTTACTGCATAAACAGCCCAGTTTTATGAAAAGACTATTTCTAGAAATGAAATGCTTCTTTAATGTTGTTATTTACTAAATATATATGTGCAAGCATCTCTCACCAAGGAGCTATGTGCCAAAACACTGGTGTCATACCCACAGAGATGTCTTGTTTTTGCAGTTACAGCCTTATATTTCTGGGATACTTTTCAACTGACAGATCTTTCCACACCTACCAGACATGTAATTACAAATAAATAGAAAAACTGATAAAAGTGATCATGTACAGAACCACAAAACTCACTGTTTTCACTTTACCTGCTTTTATTTTTGTGTCATTGGTTTTATTTAGTGGGACTCCTTAGTCCATTGTTTTGCTTTCTGTTTAAATGTTGGTTTGTCCCATCTGTATCTATTACCTAGCTTTTTGGTCTTTTTTATATCATTGAGGGAAGACTAGATATCAGAAACACCACTCAATATGTATGTATATTGTATGTATAATAATAATAAAAATTGAACTTTAACTTGAATTCTGCTACAGGAATGGAGATAATCAAATGTCACGATATTTTTACCAAATACCTTCATATCAATATCACACCTATACTGTAGGGTCGACTATTGGTGCTTTAATAAAAATATTTACACATTGTGGTTTTTGATAAGCATTAGTAATGTGGATAGAATGGCTAAATAGGTAAAGGCAAATAATAGAACAGAAATGCCTTTAAAAGCAGGAAAAGAAGATATACAGATATTACAATATCTAAAATCTAAGACGATATCTAGTTGCATATCATGATGTCAATATAATGGTGATATATTGTCCAGGACCAGCCCTAGATTCTACTTCATTTGTTTTGGAAAATTGCATATTTCAAACGAGTGCTCAGATGCTTAGAAGTAGTATGTTTGGTGTTGCTACATTAACACAGTAAGATAAAGCTGGAGTTGGCTGCTAAACTTGACCCTCACCAACATTTTAGCGAGTTCACATCAATTTTTATAACCATTTGTTATGCTTCTCCACTCATTTATTCATGGTTTTCCTTTCATTTGTCATCTGTTTGTATGTATAGACACTGTAGTTTCCATCCTTTGTCTGCTTCCATGTATTCACTTGACCAGCAGCTTTATGTTGCTTTGTCTATTACATGAATTTGCATGAAATTTAGTTGTGTAAGAGCGTGTCTATCAGCAGATCTTTTATGCATAACTGTCTGAGACGTGTTCAGGGTCTGTATTGGTGTTTTGCTCCCTACTGGAGTTTTAATAAACAGGAATATTTTGTTTCATGATCATGCCCAGGTACAAGGTGACAGACATGATGAATGTGCACTGCTTCTGTAAAGATAAACCCAGTCAAATGATAACTATACTCTATAGGAAAGGTTAGTATATTGTATTTCCCTGAGGATACAAACTGTTTGCATAATGTTTGATAAAGATTTGTCTTTTGACTCTCATATTTAAAAAAAAACTTCAAGGTGCACTGGCGCCCTGTAAAATCTAGAACTGAATTTATAATCCCTCTCCTCACAGAAAGCTCTAAATGGTCAAGCTCCGTCATATCTTAGAGAGCTCATAGTGCCATATTATCCCACCAGAACACTGCGCTCTGAGAATGCAGGGTTACTTGTGGTTCCTAAAATCTCCTTAAGTAGAATGGGAGCCAGAGCCTTCAGCTATCAGGCTCCTCTCCTGTGAAACCATCTTCCTGTTTTTGTCTGGTAAGCAGACACTGTCTCCACATTTAAGACTAGACTTAAGAGTTTCCTTGTTGATAAAGCTTATAGTTACGGCTGGCTCAGGCTTGCCTCAGACCAGCCCCTAGTTAGGCTGACTTATGCCTAGTCTGCCGGGGGACCTCCTGTGATACACTGAGCCTCTTCTTTCTCTCTCGCTCTCGCTTTCAGATGCTTAAAAGTTGGTTCTTCTTCATTTGCTGACATTCATGTCCTGTTACTGCATATCTATCGCTAACTTGGCTTCTTCTACAGAGCCTTTGTGCTCCACTGTCTTGCAGGTTCCCTCGATTCGCAGATATGCTTGGATGGTGGATCGTAGTTAAGCTGCTGCCATGGTCCTGCCTGATGCCTGCTACTACTTCTATTATTAATTGTCATACTTCTACCATTAATTTATGATGTTTATTGACACATCTCATTTCTACCATTTTCCCTGGTAAAGTTTTTTTTGGGGGAGGTTTTTCTTTTCAGTTGTGAGGGTCCAAGGACAGAGGGACGTCCTATGCTGTAAAGCCCTCTGAGGCAAAGTGTGATTTGTGGCTTTATAAATAAAACTGAATTGAAATTGAATACCCATAACAGCTCTACTGGCTTTTTAATTATAGCACTGTTTATCTATGATAAAACATTGGGTTTATTGAGCTCTCTGGTACAATATGCATTACAGCTTCAGTCTATGAGTAGACAGATATGGAAGATCACTTCCTACAGGCAAAACCAACCAAGGCCTGCTTTAATTTATTCTAGCTATCACCTTGAAGCAGAGCTGATACGGAACACATCAGGGTCACGTATGTTGGTTGCCTATCGGTACTAGCTAACTATTTTAGCGCTTTTTTGCTGTCTTGAGAGATAGACTACATTTAGATTTAAGACGCTAACACGCAAGTGGAGTCTAAAACAATGTAACTTAACTGTATCAAGTCGCAGAGCTGATGCTACTTTAAATACTTTTACTTTTTTCTCCTTTTTTACTGCATTTTTCGTCATCTTTTACAGTTAAGTCGGGACTGAGAACTTGTGTCGCAATTACAAAACACAATGGTTTCAGCAAAACCAGACTGAAAACCTGACAGGTTTAGCTTGTATTTTCGCAGTTGAAAAGGGAAATGACTTTGTATCTAACCAAACGAGTAAGTTTGACCCATATATTTGCTGTAACATAAAATGTCATTGCACTAAAACGTTTTTTTTTTTCGGAATAAAAATTACCTCAGAAGGCAGATTCAGCTCCAGCCAGCAAACTCCACTTCAAAGAGACCGACGCT